AAAAAAAAAAAAAAAAAATCACAGAATATTTTCATGCTCCGCTCCACTCTGACAGTTATGCTCTCACTCTAGCTCTTAACGAGCCGTGCAATACACACCCATTATAAAATTTGAAACAGACCCAAAATGTTCCTGAAACTTAATCTGTGACTTCATGACAACTGTGATAGCTATCAAAATGTCCCTTTGGCTCAATAAAGTGCAGCGTTTTGTCTAGGTTTTAAACTTTGAATCATATTTCTACGTTAATGTACGGTTAGTCAATATGGGCCCAAAGTTAAGTGTTTTTTTAGCTCTCTTCATGCCAAAACCCCATTCAAGTGAATGGAGAAATTTTGCTCAGTAATTTTGGGATTTTCGGGAAAACCGCTTGGTGAATCTCTCCGAAAAATAGATAGCACACTATTCCCGATCAGGCCGCACGTTTTGATGTATTTTTCACGCCGCTGTTGGCAACGCTGTGTGAGGAGAGGCGCGCCAAACTTTTGGATAAATCGGATGATTATGATTAAGCCCGATGGATAATATACAGTGTGCTTTGGCACAGGCAGTTTTGCTGCCTTGTGCCACAAAGCCACACTGAATGAGCCCACACCCGTGCTCGCTACTGGATTGGTTATTAGCAGCCATGACGTCTCCGTCCCTGATTCGTCACACTCACTATCACGTGACCCGTACCCGGAAGAAAACAAACAGCCAGGGCGACCAGTAATTCATTTCAACATGGATAACTAATTTCAAGCGTTGCTGCTAAAAGTCTGCATTTCTGTGGAGGAAGCAGCTGTTATTGGGGCGATTAACGAGCGCCGTGACCAGCGGCGTCATCAGCCCTATTATGCGGCCAAGCCAGTTAGCCGTAAATGCTATTCAGAGCTACGAGTTACAACAACAGTTAGTGCCTCGTTGTTTTTAGATTCTAATGAGAAGACACGCTGCTTCGTTTTACTTCTTCCGTTTGGTAGCCTTAAGAGACCTTAGTCTGCAAGTATGTCTGTATGAAGCATGAAAAGATGTACGAAGATATATTATATTCGCTAATGCTAATCGCGGTTAGCATTTCCCCATTGGCGGTAATGTTAAAATTAGCTTAGAAGCTAGCTACTCGGACATGTTACATGATGTTCAGAGCTAGAGTTGTGCCCTAAAAGACGGAGCAATTCCCCCATGCCCTAAAGAATTGATAAAGGGCGAAGATGCTGTTTTTCTGCTGGGTGACCCAGCTTATCCCCTGATGTGAGAGAGAGAGATAGACCCGCAGCGCTGTAACTACGTCTGAAAAATAAAACTTCTAAAACTTTCCACGAACTGTGTCTGTTTGAGTTTATAGAGGAAGATCTTAAGTATCAAATACAACCTTTCATTATTAAAGACTACTTTATTACTGTCATATTTTTTTTTAACTAAGCAATCAATCACTTCCTGTTTACACCGTCACGCGCATGCACAGTGTACGTTAATGGTCACGTGCTGTCCGCCTTCGAAGGCTGCCGTGTGGATGCAGATCAACCCGAGAATGATGCTGAAACTCCCGTGTGGACAGAGATCGTTTCTATTTGACAACTCTGCTTCCAAGTAGAAACGGAGTAGTATGGATGTAGCATGAATCACCTCGTTGTTGTTGTTGTTAGAAATATAGCTGAGGAGGTCCCGGGGTTCTGGTACTTTGGGGAAAATATATTCCTTATTCCTGAACAGAAAGAGTTAAATATCAGAGGCAAACAACTAAAACCGATCGGAGCAAAATCAAAAAGATGAAGACTTTAACATACTTCCTGCAACACACAAACATCAGGGCAGCCAGGCCAGCAAGCATCAATGGGATGAGAATGGCAGCGTACAGCCATGCATTAGGATCCGTGTCTCTATCTGCTTGCAAAAACATCAGCAACGTTATGATCGTCTGAGCGTGACCTACACAGCTGCAGTGTATTTTAAAAGTTGCAATTTAAATCCAGTATAGTGAAGTTAAAAGTAAAGGTAACTCAAATTTGAACTTATGTATGGTACTTGAGTAAATGTACATTCCATCACTGTGTAAAAAAAAAAATCTGAAGGGTGTGACAGTTAATTTTCGACAAGATCAGAAAACAGACAGAGAGGCGATGGCTGTACCGAAATACTTCTCGTCACTCTCTAGTGTCTCTCCTCTCGTCGTACTTGCTTTGATAGTCATACGGTACTGACAGCCAGGGTTCAGGGACAAGTTATATGGATTTTCTGTAATATCCGGTGTGATCTGTAAGAAAATGAAGGCACAACAGTACCAGCGACTACTCATTGAGTTGACTCATTGTTCCGACACAATACTGAATCTGACAACATGAATGAATTCTGTGGAATTTCTGAGTGAACTACAGCCATAATAATCTTAGAAGCAACTGCTTATTGTGAATTTACGGTTTACATGAAACTGAATTTCAAGCTTTGAAATATTTCACTTCGAAAACCATCTATATGGTATATATTTATATTTTTTTAATATATTTTAGATTTAAGTGGTTTCCCCTTCTTTGAACTTTCCAGGCAATTTCAAGTGGTGTTAATTCAAAAGCTTGAGTGAAGTTTTTTTAGGGTACAAATGAGGATAGAAAACTACAGCTGAGCCTGATGCCGTCTTTAGTTTCATAGTTATTTGGTAGAAACCTGAGTATTTTGACCTGATGAAAAGTCGGGGTCAGCAAATTGATTCCAATTCATCCTGAGGGGATCATGATAGTCTACCAGATTGCATTACAATCCTTCCAACAGTCAAGGCATTTCACTCAAAACACAACAGTTAGTAGCACCTGTTGCAACCTGCTGGTGGTGCTAGTGAACAAGTCAGGGAATCACCAAAGTCAGGAAGCTTCATCCTCTGGGGACAATGAGTCTCAATCCAGCTAATAGTTGATTGACTGACATACATAGTTTTTTTGGGTCCCGTTTTCAACCCAAACTTCCTTGTAGTAGCTTTAAGTAACCTTGTGAAAGGAGGGATTCAAACCATATAAGAAAAACAAAACAAAGCTGCAATTTAATTCTAAATATTGTGCTTGTTGTGTGTCTTACCTTTGGTTGACCACACTCAGTGTAATAAATTATATAAGTCCAAGTCAGTGGAATGTCAGGAGGGGTCCACTCAATAACGAAATGATCCGTAGTTTTATTGACTGTCCAGTTAAGGGGAGGAGGTTGCACTGCATGGAGACAAACATTACAGAGATATAATAACTACAATCCAGTCACACATCATGAAATACTGCAAAGCAACTGAGGCCATTTCAAAAAGTCTCTCTCCCTTAAAATGGCTGGGTGTCATCCAAAGTTGTATGTTTGGGATTCATTACACAAGAACACACACACACACACACACACACACACACACACACACACACACACACCTCTTAGAACCGAAGAATGGGGAAGTGCGAAGTATTTCATCAGAACGTTTCCTCCACAGGGCTCTTGGTACTAAATGAGTTCTGGTATTCCGCTGGCTGCATACCTTTAATGCTCATAATCTTATAGGTGTTCCTGGCAAACGTGTCGTTCAGCGTCCCATTAAACAAGATGTCGATGGAGTGGTGTACGTTGGCCTCCAGTTCACAACCAATCCTGACGTCACCATTGTAAAGGTACGATGGGCACTCAAGTATGGGACGTGAAGAGGGCTTCTCGACAACAGGTCCCAGGAAATTCTCATTCGTTAACCTTGGAAAGATAAGAGAAAAGGGTCATTTACTCTCAAAGAAGTAACTGATTGAAGAAAAAAATGAATTAATACAATTTACAAACATTTAAATAAGGCCAATTCTTCCGAGATGATGCTACTCAGACCTAGCCAAGAGGACAACAACAGATATAGAACACTGTTCAGTGAAGTTAAAGGAATAGTTTGACATTCTGGAAAGGATCAATACCTCTCTTATGTCTGTCTGTTAAAAATAGCCACAGCCAGCGGACGGCTAGCTTAGCTTAGCATAAAGACTGAAAACCATGGGAAACAGCTAGCCTAGCTTGGGATAGACAGAGGTAACAAAATCAGCCTTCCAGCAGCTCTAAAGCTCACTAATGAGCACACTTTACCCCGTTTATTTAATTATCGAGCCGACGAGAACGGGCATCAGGCAAACAACACTCGCCCCCGGGTGAAGTTCTTAACAGAGACCTCCTGGGCCCTGATCCAGTCAGAGGCCTCCCTCTGTGGTTGCCAACCATTTGGTTCCAATTTCCCAGATTTCCGCCGATCGGGGAGAAGCTTGAGAACCAGTTCTCAACGACATCATACAGAAATATTTATTTGGAGAAACGAATCCTACAAGTGCCTTCACAGTGAAAAAAGGCTTCCTTAACAAGAAGGAAAATATTATTCTTCAATTTCCTAAACGGCCTAAAGAGTCTCAGGCTGACAATATCTGCTGATATTAGGTCTGCGTTAAGTCAAGGACTCTACAGCTTTTCTTAATTAGGAGCCGGCCCCCACACTTTGGTAAAGGGAAAAGACAGCAAGTACCAAAGAATGAGGGGACTGAAACCTGGTTTTTGTCCTTTTAGTGGATCAATGATAAGAAAGCTGAGTAACCTGGAGACTACATGCTTTGCTATGATAGGGCCAAATGTAAAATGATGGATGATTTACAGTTGCATTAGACTGACAAAAATAGATTACTGGAAATAGATTTTACTCTCTTCCCTTCTCAATTTACCGATACATTACCAAACATGGCATGGGTCCATGAAAAATAAGTGTCACATAGTCAAACAATTCCTAAACTGAGGCCTGGACTGATAAAAAACAGATTAGCCATAAAATAGGAAGAATTCTGCCTCGGTTGAACCCTAGCTGATTACTTCCAAATGGTCCCCGAGAGAAAACCGCTAACAGAAAATAATGCGATACAGCTTCCTCACACACATTGTGAAAGTCTGATGTACAGCACTGCTCCCCAGTGATTGTGCAAGTACAAAATGTAAAGAACATAAACAGACATACCAATAAAAGAACCTGAGATCTTGAGCTTGGCTGGCTGCGTGCCAGGAGCAGTAGGTTTGTGTGGCGGAGTAGATGTAGCACTCCCAATCCCTCACCAGCACTGGGAGGAAATGAGACACGCATCTTAATAAACCGACGGATACACGGATGTCAATGTGGTCCATATTTGGTTCAAAAAGCACATCTCTTCGTCTACTCAAAAGCATCCGAAATTTGAGAGCAAAAATCAGGTGTTAACGCAAGTCAGCTGTGAGCAAAATGAGCTACCTGGGTAGTCGACGTTGACCTTAACCTGCAGCTCACTGACATTTTTGCCGCAGACGGTTTCAACCGCCATTTCCAGAAATCCTCCATCCATCACAAAGTACAACTGCCAGGATTGACCTGAGACCTCCTGAATCCACCAAGAACAGAGAAACAGAACAAAACTGAGTGAACAAGCGAACCATCACCAGTAACACTGGCAGCCCACCACCTTACTTCTGTGTTGTTAAGCAGATGCACAGTCTTATACGATCTAAGAGCAGAGAGCAGAGGAGACTATTGTATCAAACACAGTGAGCTCTGGCACATTGTCATGATACATATCTATACATTTGAAGAATGTAATCGGTGGTGGAACGTAGCAAAGTACATTTACACAAGATCTGGTACAATTGTGAGGTACTTGTGTTTTCAGGTTAACATTGTACTTTTTACTCCAGCTCATTTATCTGACTGCTATAATTACTAGAGACTAAGAATAAGATTAGAAACACAAAATGCTAAAATACTGACATATCTGTAACTGTTGGTGCAGGTGCTACAGGGATCCTCAAAGAAGATTTAAAAAGTGTTGCAGACAACAAACCTTTAATAATAAGGATGGCTATTAAATAAAATTGCATTTTGCTTAATAAAGAAATAAATGCATACTCACGTCTGATTTAGAGTCGTCAGGGCATTTGGTGTTGGCATGTACCTCATATGTACAGTTTTCTACTGAATGCGGTGGTGGTGCCCAGGACAACTGTGGGTCAAAATCACTAATCCATTTCAGGGACACATTTTGTGGTGGTAAGATGGGGCCTTAGGTGTACAAAGAGAAAAGACAGAAATGTAAAACAGAAACATATGATTTCATTGTGCCTTTAATTCGCCTCTTGACCCGTGAACCCCACCTAATACAACACCTAAAGCTCTTCCAGGTATAAAAGGTAGGACGGTTATTATGGGAATTCTCAGAATTGGTACAGTGATGCTTGATTTATGAGGTAGCATGTAGTCAGAGTCGTCCTGAACTTCAACGGATCAGTCAAAGTAAGGATTTAGTATTTTCAGTCGAAGGATATACTCACACGTTAGTGTTAATCTTACTTCCATGCATTTTTATTTGACATTCATCTAGTTGTACTTAGTTAAAAACACGTTTCTCTCCTAAGTTTACATGTTGTACGTGTTGTTTCGTTTAGCTGGGAATAACCAGACGGGCGTGACGTCAGTACTGGGAAAACACCGTGACGTAGTCCATGGGAAAATTGTAATGTTTGTGAAGGAAGCAGTCGACAATCCAAAATGTAACACACAACGCTATGCGTCTTTTCTCACCTTGTTGGGATTCCACCGTCAGAAAGAGGCAGCTCAACACGAACAGCTCCAAGCTGTGACACATCATGGTAATTTTTCTCTCTTTTCTTTTTATTTTGGGAGTCTTATTCCTGAAGTTTATTTTCGAGGATACGTTGTTTTCCTTGAACCGCTCCCGTTCCTACCGACGGGCCGTCTGCTGTCCGGTCCGCTGTCACGGTTACTAAACAAACGGAAGACGGTAAATGTCAGTGTTTCCACGTTAGCTTCCGGAGGCTGGAATTGGGCGGAGTGCTTCCTCTTTTATTTGGGGCGCACGTGAATGTACGCCCACACAAACAATACGCCAAAAGCGTGTTCATATATATATATATATATATAAACATATAGGATATAAACAATATTTCTAGAAAAATGGGTGTTTTTTATGTTCTACTAACTTGTAATTGTACCATGAATAAGTTGCCTTCCACACAAAACCATCATAATAATAATAATGGATGATAAGGGTAGCCTATTGTTTATTTAAGTTATTCCGTAGTTATGAACGATTACTTCTTCATAAATCCTTTGATGTAACATATATTCAACTATGGACATCATTAATGCTAAATAAACATGTACATTCAAAGAAAGAAGGAAAATGACTCCCAGAGGAAAAGCTTTTTTGGGAGAACATTCTTAAAGAGCTCAGCTATTACCATATGCATTCTGTATACGATATATATAGATATATATAGATATATATATTAAAGATATAATAAGATTAAAGACAAAGACACATTTTACACATATAATATATATCCAGACAATTTATATTTCTCCAGATTTCATAGATATTGAAATAAAATGTAATCTCTGTAATGATGAACCAGAATGTAAAACACATTTAATTCACAAATCTTACTTTTTGGACTTGGATGAAAGATTATTTGTTGTGTAAATAATATATCATAATATCATAATTGATTCTTAAAGTGTCACACATTTTGAACATAACATGAACATTCATGGTAAAGTTATTGATTAAACAAAGTACATTTAATGTCAAATAACTAAAACCACGCCAATTTCACCATATTTCTATCTGATTTTAAAGAATATATATATATATATATATATACACATATATACATATATATATATATACACATATATACATATATATATATATA